ACTAAGATTTCTAGGCATATTATAAGCAGGTGTCCTCACAGTCAATAGACTCTTCGGAGAGGGATACCATTTTGCCATTATCGACAATTAAATCAGTCATATCATGTACAATGGGAGCTCCTAGGAATGGTCCTATAAACCGCAAACCCGTGGATCCGAACAGACCCGGGTCGGGTTGGGTTGGTTTGCTTTTAAAAATGAGTCGATTCGGTTCATTTATAATTTTAAATTTAGATGGGTCGGGTCATTTTATCGTTCAAAATTTTCCAAACCAACCCAACCCGTTATCAAAAGTAGAAAGCCTATTTCCTTGTCATTCTCGTGAAGTCTCTCTCACAACTTCAAAATTGAGCCTCCCTTGCCTCCTGCGATCCCTTCTCTTCGACAATTCTCAACTGAATCAAGAAACTTCACTCAGATTATACATATATCCAAGAACAAGAAGGAAGAGGAGAATGATAACTCGGATCTTCCTGAAGGTGGATCTGATAACAGATGATCAGATCTCCGAATTCAAGTAAGCTCATGTTGAGTTTGTATCTCTGTAATGTATTCATGGGATTGACTCCAATTTGTTCTGAAATTATTGTTTATTTTAAATCTTCAACCATCCATTTCTTAGTATTTATTTATATCTGCATTTTCTTGTGTCCCATTTGTAAACTCTCTTGGCCTTTCTCCGTGTCCTAGTTGCCAATTTTCATGTTTTATTGTTTTAATTCATGCAAGTCCAAGAAACAAGCCAAATTCTTGAGGGACAAAGCTGTATATCTTAATCTTCGTATTTGATTTACATATTTAATATATGTAATCTCATTTGCTTTACAAGGGTTATAATTAGATGATTGTTAGCTTTTGTGTTTTGGAATTTCAGTTGAAATCTTAGTTTGTGGTTCATTTGATAAGTGTGTAGTATGATGAACACTAAAGAGGAAGAAAATATTTGTTGTTTAAAATGTTTGTCTTGGTTGTTGACAGCTTATTTCTTCCATGTGTTAATCTGTGTTTATTTGTACCATGACCTTGTTCACATTCCCTCTTTTCCTTTGTGACCTGTTTGGTAAATAAATAGTAATCATAGCCCTGCTACGACTGTTCAATTTATATGGTATTTTCTGTGAATTTCATTTTCCATTTTTTCTCTGAATCCATTGTAGATCTTGTTTTTAACATTACATATCTTTTTATAATGTAAAAAGATCTTTCATCACTTATTTGAGAATTTTTTAGGACATCATTACATTGTCTTTATCTATCTCACTCTCAGTTTGTGCAGTTGAACATTGACAGATGTTAGTAAATGTTGATGTTAAAATCCATCTCATCTCCAAATACTTCTGACCTTATTACATTGCCCTTAAATCATTAGGGAGTTAGATGAGAAAAATATAGCACTCATAGTGACTGAATAGATTTGTGAGCATTATATTTACGGTATAGAACATTTAGATTTTAATTGGGTTATATATATACGAGGATTATATCGTTAGGAGAGGATTTAATTCTCAACAAATGCCCCTCTTCTAAGGTGCGGGATGTGAGGATTGAACATTGGAAGTAGAAATATGAGCTTGCAGGATTTTTTGGTTGAGATATTATTTATCCAACAATAAGAAAGATTACTGCAACTTGTTATTGAAACTTATAGATTAATGGAAATTCAAATTGTACATTCTGTCAAAGTGGGTGTATATGCATCTAGTAGGCAAGAGTCTATAAATGATGAGGAAGAATTCTTGATTCCTTTCGTAGTTTTTTAAACCCTATGATGGTGAACGTTTTGGTGTGCACTCAAAATTGGCTCAAAGATTCTCCAAGCATGGAGATATTCTATATGGAGGATGTAGAGGAATATAACAAATTGGATGAAGGTAATATAGCTATCTCATAATATATATTAATGTTCGTTTATCTAATTTATTGCTAATTCAATCATTATTTGTGTAGGAATGTTTATCTCATAATATGTATTAATTTTTTCTTTAAATATTTCTTCTTCTTTTTTGTAGGAATGTTTCTTATGCAACAATTGGAATTTTTTAGGGAAGTGTATTCAATTGAGACTTTTAACGACTTTTCAGGATTTAAAAAGTTCAGGGGTGTTCAATGTAAATTTTTGGAGACTCTTTAAAAGTATTGATATATTCAGTAGAGATTTTTAAAGACATTTAAAAAGTCCATAAAAGTCACGTTGTATTCGATTAAAACTTTTTAATCGTCTCAGTCTTGGAGTATTTAGAAACTTTTATAAAAGTCTCCATGGTACTAACTTTTAAGCAAAAAGTACTAAAATAAAATCTCAAAATTTATCTTAAGAGGACATAACACAAATTATCCATAAAAGACTTCAGAGCTTGTTTGATACAAATTAAAATCAAATTTTAATATAAGTCAAAATCAAACAATCAATATTAAACACATCTTTCATGGTCCCACAGCTTTTCAAACTAAAAATCTAATGTTAATCCCCACCAAACACCCCCTTAATATAGAAATGTAAGGTGCTAATTAATCAAAACCAAAGCCTCAGCAATATCTCCCTCAATCCTTCAACACCAAACAGGACATAACACAAATTATCTTTAAAAGAACAAGCAATAGAATCGCAAATCAAAAATAACAGCACTTAAACATGAAACCAGAACATCATAAGCCGAAACAAAACAATTCCAATGCAAAATGCTCTTTAACAACAAAACAAAAAGGAAAACAATTATCCAAAACATAACAGAAAATTCCGTAAATCAAACGTAACCGTACTAATAATAATATCAATAACAAAAGCAGTGACACTACCGATATTTCAACGGTAAGACTTCTGGAATCTAGCACGAGCAC